TGTGTGTGTGTGTGTGTGTGTGTGTGTGTGTGTGTGTGTGTGTGTGTGTGTGTGTGTGTGTTGAACAGGTTCTCAACCTGAGAGCTTGATTATAAACAAAATGTTAAAAAAGTTGCAAAAAGGCTTTTACTGCACAGTTAAACTGAAGCTTAACATGGTTTTGTTGTGGGCGCCCATGTGTCTCAGAAATTGTGGGAAACTTTTTCACTGTTTTGCATCATATGTCTTTGATTTTAAAGACTTTCTGGAAGGGTTCTTTACACTTTTTTGTCTGAAATACAATGACTTTCCTTAAAGCTGTCTATATATATATTTGATGGAAATAAAATGTCATAAGAATAAACCAAAGATAAAAGATTTGACAGACTGTATGCATGTATTATTTTTAATCAGATAATTATCATATTTGATAATCGGGCAGCACAACGTCTCAGTGGTTATAATTTACACCTCACAGAAAGAAGGTCCTGGGTTCGAGCCCCAGTTCGGGATGGGGTCTTTCTTGCGGAGTCTATATGTTCTTCTCGTGCTTGTGTGGGTTTTCTCCAGGTACTCTGGTTTGCCCCACAACACAAAAACATAAAGTTTGCCTGCAGGCGCAGGCAATCTGTGATCTCAATGGGATTTAAATATTAAAAGTATTTTTTTGTTTGAATATCAAATTAACATTTAAAACATTTATTTTGACTCTTGTACTCTACATGTCCATTTGTGTGTGATTACTTTTTACATAATGTCAGGAGACAAAAACTTTATGCATGACAAGTATGTTACAAGTCTTTAAATTGTAAACAAAAAGGCTGAGAATTGAACACACTTGTTTAGCATGCTGAAAAATGTCTTCACATAGCGTTGATGCTTGACTTATCAAATTGTGTAAAGTGGATGATTTCCCAAATGATTTTTCGTTTAATGTTTGTGGACAAATTCTTCAGGCGAATAATTTCTCAATACAGCAACAGCCTTTTATTTGCTGCATTTGCTGTGCAAATAATGCTCACCCAAACAAATATTTATTCATATTTAATAAATAAGGTGTGAAAGCAAATAAAAAGGAGGTGCACTTTTCATCACAGGACATTGTTCAGTTCACACAGCGTCTGTAATCATGATGCACAATTACTTCTCAACAGCATTTAACAGTTACCAACTAAACAAACACAAAATCTAGTGCATCATTTGGTTTTTTTTCTAGCCAAATGTCATCACAATGAGCTCAGCAGAACTGACTGCAGCTGTGGAGCAGGGAGGAAAAGGATATTGCAAAAAGGAAAAATATCCTGTCCCACATTCACTGGACTGTAGATTTCTGCTATAAATACCTGGGGGATTAGACCAAGAATGAACGTGAAAGAAAATATGACATCTTTTAAACCTGTTGAAGAAATTATATATATA